GACAGGCTTTAGAACAATATCCATAGCTCTCTGGAATATTGACGGGGCTCCACACGACCCAAAGGGCATGCGTAAAAATGCATAAGTGCCCGATTTTGTGATAAACGCGGTTTTATGTATATCTTCAGGTCTCATAGCTATTTGATAGTAGCCAGACGTTAAGTCCAATGTAGTCATGTATCTCGTAGACTTAATCTTTCTAATAATTTCCTCTATTACCGGCAAAGGGTAAACCGGGAACTTAGTAATACTATTAAGCTTTTCTGTAATCGATAGCAAACCTCCAAGCCCTTTTATCCGAAGGAGGGAAATCGTTCTTTTTCCTACATAGTACGACTGGACTCGCGTACTCACTATGTATGGGCGTTATTATCTGGTTCTGCAGCATTTCCTGAATGTGTTCCTCGATAATTTGCTCTTTCTGTTTATCATACCGGTAGGGTTTAGTCCTACAGGGTTTATCGGCAGTTAGTTGTATATCATGTGTTACAATTTGACAGTTACCAGGCCGTTCTGAAAACAAGTTTGAAAAAGTACTCACCACTTGCTGGATGGCTTGGCTTTCATGGACACTCAAATGGCTAAGGTCTACCTGCGGTGGCTCCACCACCCTCCGATCCATTTCCAGGATAATCGAATTCTCCTGAAAATTTAGCTTGGCTTTCGCGGCCTTTAAAAACTCCATGCCTAAGATGACTGGATTTTGCAAATTTTTCACCACAAAAATTAATACTTTAAGGCTTTCATCTTTTATCTGTATTTTTAATGATAATTTCCCGATACATTGACAGGTTTTTCCTTGAGCCGCTATAATTTCTGTGTTTTTATTTTTAAATAATCGTAACCTATTAAAATTCTTTCTTGAAAAATGTATCACTAATAAAATTACCTTCTGCCCCTGTATCAATGAGGGCTTCTACTGGTACATCGCCATCTAGGACTTGTATAATTGGTAATTGGGAATTCTTTACCACGACCGTGTTTAAGTATCTTCTTAAGGGTTTTTTCGAAACTTCCGGGGTCTGGACCCTCGCTTTTACAGGCTCCTCTACTCGTTTAAAGCTTTCCTTTCAACTTCAATCTTTTGGGTACGCGGACTGTTTTTTTCAAATTTCCTTTTTGCGCCTTGACCTTCTAGCTTCGATGAGTTGGCTTGTTAGCTCTTTCCCCCATAAGAGCGATTTGTGTTTCCGGTCTGTTGATTTGAGAATTGCCTGCGGGGATTTTAAGAATACGATGCCCCTCTAGATTTTTCCGCTTTCTTCGGTTTTGGAACTTGACCGCCAGCTCGAAGAGTTCCTGCAAGGTACTTGGATTTCGAAGTAATCTTGGACAGCAGGTAGCAATCTTGGTAAGATTATTTCAATTATCTCCGTGTCGGGTTTCTTTCCATACAGCATATCCGTCAGCTTAACTTTTCGCAGAATAAAGTCCGTCAACTCTTCCATATTACGTTGATAAAAACTATACAGCCGGCTTCTAGCTTTGCTCGGTCTTTCACTATGGGGAAGGCCTTTAATAATGATATTTTGAAATTTTCAAAGGTATATGTTTGGCCTCCGAATTCTCCTAATAAAAATTTCCCTATACTCTTCCACCATAGTGAGGCCTGTCCTCTTAGTGCAGACGTGGCAATGGCAACTTTTTGTCTTTCAGGCACAGGGTATAACTGGAAGTGATTTTCGAGGCCTTCTAAGAATATCGCCACCGATTTTTTTCCGTCGAAATTTACATTTGGCTTGATAGATGCTCTCATCGTTTGGACCAGATATCCAAATCCTTCTAACTGGTTCGCCATTTCTTGCTGTTGGAGTTGTACAGGAGCTTCAATCCAGTTATCGGCCATCTAAGTTCGTAAGATGTTCGGGCGCCAATATAGTGTTGCGAGGCCCCAGCTTGTCGGCAACAGTGGTAGTGACTGCTATGAACTGTAAATTACACAAACTCGTAAGAAGGGTTTAAATCCCTTTTTATTCCACTTTAGAAATAACAGCTGCGTTCACTTGACGCTCACAAACTACGCCGACCCGGCGGCCTTAACAAAACAGAAATGTGAAACTAAAAATAAATGACAGGATGAATAAATAACGAGATCACTACCTACGAGGCTCTAAAATCGTACCTAAGTTAACCGCGTTCTAAGATACAGCTGAGATTCAGCAAGCTTACTGATTAAGCAGTTGAAGATTCAACGAACTGCCGAAATAGGCACACAGGCCGAAACGCGCGGTTCTTAAATTTCTACCTAGCAACCTTCACGCTCGCGATTCAAGAAGCACACATACAATCTCGTTTCCCTTCTATTTAAACTCAACTTACTTCTGCTAAAATTTGAATATACTGCGCGTTCTACTACAATTTACATACTCTGGCATTGGCAATTCTAGGGGAAAGTAAAGGCTTGACAGAAAAGATAGCTTAAACTTAAAATAAATGTTAGTTAAAATAAATATAAATCCTACAAAGTGATGACAGTATAATAATTATTCGACACTTTGATATTTCGTGGGTATTCTGGCTTTCAGCAGGAAAGTTTATAATTTGCCTTGGTACAGTTTGATAATAAAGAAATGGAAGCTATTTACACTGCTGGAGTAAAATAATCTGGAACTCGGCATTCTTTTGCAGGCCTCTGAAATTTAATTTCTGTATTTTTATGACGAAAAAAATGAAAATCTTGCTTTTTTTCTCCTTATTAGTTTTTTAACTCGTATAAAAGTTCACTGATTTGTTACTCATGTTTAAATACTCTGCATCATAAAATATGCATGATGAACTGCCATGAAGAAGTTTTAATTATTATAATTATATGATTTAATTAATTATAGAATAATTTTAGAATTTCTAAAATATAGGGCTTATTGATTTTGAGTTTTGCAAGTTGTGATATATATATTTAGTTATACAGGTTTATCATTTTATCATCAACGTATAATTCAGTTTTGTTTACGAGCTCCTGTCTACTGTTTTACGTAAGATTTGGCTTCTGGGTTCTTATATAGATCTGCATATTTTTCTCTGCTTTAGCCTACTGATTTTTACGGGGATTTAGCCTACGGGTACCCGTACAAGTCTGTTGGTTATTTTACCTGTAGGCGAAATCTCTGTACAATTTTTTATGGATGTCCCGAACAGGGGACATTTATCAGGGAATCCGAGCTTGAATCAGAACCCACTGCTTAAAGTTCTTGGTCGAAAAAAAGTTTTAGAACGTCGTAAAATTTCATTGTCACGAGAATCATCAGCGGTAAACTCGGTTTTCGCAGGAATAATTCCACAAATTATCTGCACTCAATTAAACAATTTGTGTTTTAAAGAATTGTTCTTGATACTTTTTTTAATATCATAGTAGTAGTGATCCAGTCATGTTAGGTGGAATTTAGTTATTGAAGTGATATAGGGCAAAGATCTAGATGGAGATAATTAGGGAATTTATGAAAACTAGAGAGAAATGGTGCTTGAATGATGCTAACGTAAAAAAGTTTAAAAAAATAATTTTATTAATGTGGAGGACGAGAGTCATTCAAATCAAATCGAATCTTTTGATCTTATAAAACAAAAGAACAAATTTTTAAGGCCTAAAAATTGCATTTATTTTTCAGATACTTCCCTGCTTCATTTATACTTTTTAATCATAGCCATTAATTAATAAGCCTCTGCCTAAAAATATTTATGAATCAGCCTGTACCATATTAGAATAGCCTGCCTTCCTTTGCCATCAGTGTTGCCAACCTGATCGGTATAATGCTTAGCAATGCTGGCTGCCGTATCTAGGGGCCCGGATTGGAATCTTAGTATGTGCGTGGCATGGAGTACCTAAAATACTGGAGAACTAAAATACAGAAAATCCTCTCGCGATGTCTGGTAGTAAGGAGAAAAGGGGGGAGACTTTCGGATCCGTCCACCTGGGGTATGCCCCATAATAATCGGAACCAAACTGTGCAGTTAGTGAGATGGCATTATACCTGTAAGAACACTTAATGAAGTTCTGGTGTCTCACTCACTTGTACGTCTCTTATAACCAGTGCTGAAATGCGGACCTCAAAGGAGCTCTTTTAGATTTAAAAAAAAAAAAAAAAAAAAACCCACTGTCTTGGTAATCAGCATGTGCTGACTTTTCGAAAGTGCGAATTTTTGTGAATAATTATGCTTAACCATATCCATCAAAAGATTCTTCTGTTCTGCATTTTGATGACAAGTTAAGCTTCTATGATCCAGGATCCTTAAAAAAGTTCCTAAACTATAAACTCGGCGGCACAAACAGCCCTTAGAGAGCCATGGCCGGCAGTGCCCTGATATCTACTTTCTGGGCCCCGGGGTGCATGAGCATATTGCCTGCACAAGTGGTCAGGTTGGTCGCATTACCCCCCCCGGTACTCATTTTATTGACTCTGTCAAGGGATGGAAGGTTGAGTCAACCTTGAGCAGCCCGGGAATCGAACCGCAAACCTGTGGTTCTGCTGCGCGACGCGCTAGCCATTGCGCCACAGGCCTACTTGGAGGTTAACATACCTGAACTGATGAGATAAAATGAAGCAAGCCATGCGGTCACACTAACAGATCTTTCAATAACAAAACCTTCCAGAGAATAGTTAAATGTAGAGATAAATGTATAAATATAGCAAGGGAGATAAATGCGGTTTTCACACCTTCAAATTTTTTGTTTTAATGTATAAATTAAAAAATCTCAGTTTGATGTTTGAGTGCTCCTCGTGATAACAAAAGAACAATGAGTTCAGCGGTACAAGTTAAACTTGCAAATTATTGTGAAATATTTCTGAGCAAGATAAGAACAACTTCATCTCTGAAATTTGGGCACATCTGTAGCACCTATTTAAAAGTTTAATGCAAATTTTTTAAATCATATTTACATATATTTGATGTAATTTGTAAAAAAATATTAAAACATTTGTCTCATATTACCATTCATACTTTTTTTTGTCATGTATTTATTTATAAATATTCTTCAGATATGCTTATTTTACTATATTTCTTTTCAGGTTTTGTAGAAACCGGAGTGCATTCCATGAAAAGAAACGAGACACAAGTAACTATGAAGGTAATCCTGAATATCCATTTGGAAGTTCGAATAAGGCATACATCAACAGTTCAGGTACAGGAAAATGAACCAGTAAACTTCAAGCATGTATTGTATTTTTTCAAAAGAAAAGGCTAAAAAAATTATAAATGAAATCAATATTAAAATTATATGGCTTATTCTCTATACATAGTCTGTAAATACATCTATAAATATTTTTCTGGGTTATTTTTTAAAAAATTCCGTGTATATCATAACTCAGCAGATAAATGACTGAAGATATCACATTTTAGTACTTAATAAAATATCAGATGCTACAGTGTTCAGAGATTTGATTGAACCAGATCTGAAGTATTGTGGATTATCACTTTCATTATTCTGACTGTGCTGAAACTGTGGTGATGTGTATGAAACAATCGCTTTTTAACTATTCGTTAAGATGAGATGTTATTGTTCATCATCATTTCCCCTTTTCATTCCTAACGCTTGACTTGCAATACATCAGAATGATGTTTCATATAATCAGTCTTAATTGAGTGTTAAGATCTTCAGAGATAATAGATGTTTAGATAGATGTTTTCATTCCTTATTAGTCATAATTATTTTAGTCATAAGAATTCTGTATTTTCTCCCCCTTTGTTTCCAGATTTGGAAAAATATCATAATGTGTATGATGCCTTTTTGAGTAGTAAAATGTTCTGTGACTGCCTGTTCATGATTCTGCAGCATCATGTAGAAACTCCTTCCCCCTACAAACATGCATACACAAGTCATCAGTTTGATGAAATATAGTACAAAGTCCGCAATCCGGACTGGTAAGGACTTCGGCGATTTCGGATTAGAGGATTTTTCCGGATTATAGATCATTAATTAAAATCTGGTAAGATGGCATGCATTATACAATTAAAAATATGAAACCGTAGTTTAGGAAATAAAGAGCAATTATGATCTAAAGGGTGTCAAATTTTACAAAAAAAATGCTTAATACTTATTTGCTTACTTTATTAAACATTTCTTTCAACGCGCGCATGCGTAAAATATACGCACGTAATGTATGCGCATTCTCTACGCGCATGCCTAAAGTTTGTGGCTTTGAGGTCCGGATTATAGATCATTCCGGATAATGGACGTCCGGATTACAAACTTTGTACTGTATCATATATTTGTAATCATATCGATTGTATTGATATCTTTTTAGAACGCTGTTAACATTCTACTTCTTTATCAATGAATGTATGGACACAATTAAATTTTACCCAAACTTGTAATCCAAATTAATATACCTTTGCTGTCATCAAGTATAAAAGGATTTTGTAGGAAAGGAGATAAATAATATTTAGTTTGTTGTACAAAGTAACATAGAGAATAAGAAGGAATTTGTTATTCTTTCTTCTGTAATTTTAATGTTTTAAATGACTGTCATTTAATTTCAAAATATTATGTTTGCCATGAACTGAATATGTACAGAGGCTGTTCGCACATTTTTTAGACGAATTTCATTGTAATTACAGAAATATTTTACCTGTAATTTGTATGTTTTTGTTGTTCAGAGGCCAATATTTACAGTAAAGAAGGCATCGATTTAGGACAACACACTTTATTTACACGTATAATGAATAAAAGGATCACACAGGAAATCGTATTGACCATCACACAGCAAGTAACATCTCACCATCTCCATACGCTCGAAGCTCGAATGACGGATGTCGGTAGAAGAGACAGCTGCGCCATCATAATACGCATGCGCATAAGAAAAAACGTTCGCTCGCCTCTACCCAACACACCCCTCCTGCGAGCAACATTTTTCAATACAAAAATGAAATACAAACAATATATAACACATTACATTAAGAAATTAAGGAAATTACTTTCAATGTATACATTAATTTTTCTTCATTGACATTCTTAGTAAGAAAATCTGCAATCATATTATCAGTTTGTGAATATTTCAACTTAATAACATTGTCCTTTGTTAAGTCCTTCATAAAATGGAAACGTAAGTTCATGTGTCTGGATTTCGTAGATCTTGCACAGTTGATCCACTGGATGGCAGCTTGACTGTCTGTATTCAAGACCACTGCAGCATTCAAAAATTGTTTACATTTTAATTCTGATAATAAATTTACAGTCCAAATAATATCCTTACAAATTTCAGAAATAGAAAATAATTCTGCTTCACAAGTAGACAGACTAACACTTCTCTGCTTACGACATTTCCAAGAAATCAATGAATCACCTAGTAAAATAGTACCACCAGAAAATGACTTACCATTTTCTGCATTTCCCCAGCTAGCATCAGCATATGCATTTAAAACTCCAAAATCATTGCTATAGAAAAGTTTTTTATTTTTTGTACCTTTTAAATACCTTAATACCCTTTTATCCAAAAGATAATGCCTTTTTTCTGGTACATGATTAAATTGTGACAAATAAGTTGTTACAAATGATATATCAGGACGCGTTCTATTCGCTAAATATAAAAGTTCCCCAATTAATTCCTGATACAAAATTGCATCAATTTTTTCATTTGTACATGAAAAACCTTTATCTGCTCCTTTAACGATTGGCGTTTTCACTGCTTTACAATTTTCCAGATTGTGTTTAGTCAGTAAAGATTCAATATATTCTGTTTGAGACAAACATATACCATTTTCAAGTTTTTCTATTTGCATTCCTAAAAATTTTGAATTAGTATTTTCACGTAACTCAAATACATTTTTTATTTTAGAAACAATATTTTCAAGCATTTCTTTATTATTACAGAATACAGCTAAATCATCAACATACAAACACAATATAAAAATGTTTTTGGAATCATTATAAATGAATATACAATTATCAACTAACTAACTGTACCAGCCCAAGTTTTTCTAATTCATTTTTTATTTTCATATACCAATTTCTACCGGATTGAGGCAACCCATAAATACGTTTCTTCAATTTACATACTTTACCTTCTCCAATCAGTTTTTCATAACCAGGTGGAGGAGTCATATACACATCCTCGTTTAAGTCACTGTGCAAGTACGCTGTTTTTACATCATAAAATTTAACAGTCAAGTTTAATTTAGCTGAAAGTGCAAGCAATAATCTACAACATTCAATGTTAACTACTGGTGAATATGATTCGGTATAATCCTTATTTTTTATTTGATTAAACCCAGCCGCTACTAATCGCGCTTTATATTTTACTTCCCCAGAGTCTCCTTCCTTCAAAGTATACACCCACTTACTTTTTACTAATTTTGTTTTTTCAGGCCTCTCTACTATTTCCCACACTTCGTGTTTATGTAATGAATCTAATTCATTTTCCATTGCGGATTTCCAGTCATACCAATTCGCACTTTGTTTTGCTTCTGAAAAATCATTCGGAACATTACTGATTATACATGATGCTAGTTGTTTTGATTTGAGCCTCTCGGATCGTCTTAATAGTATTTCATTTCCATATTTATTACTTTTTTCATAGCTATCAGATGTTTGGACTTCATTCCCCCTGTCATCACCCCCGCTACAATGGCTTATGTCGGCGATTTCGAAATTCGATGAGTCATCATATTCGCTTGCTTGGGTATTTTCCGTAACAACCAATTCTAATTCGTTTCCCTTTCTTTCTAATTCTTCAATATCCCAAGTTTCTAAGGTTTTATTTTTTCCCATATAATTACTACCCTTTAAAGATTCGTTAAATTTAACTGATCGTTCTTCAATTATTTTGTTACTTGCTATATCATAAATACGATATCCTTTTCTTTCTCTAGCATATCCTAACATTATCCCTCTTTTCCCTGGTATGTCAAATTTGTTTCGCATTACTTTCGGAATGTGAAAGTATGCCACACATCCAAACCTTTTTAGATAGTTTAATTTGGGTTTTTTACCAGTCCAAATTTCTTAAGGAATTTTTTCTTTTCCTTTCCGGGGTGTTAAATTTGATACTTGAGTACTAAAATTAATTGCTTCTGCCCAGAATTTTACCGGAAGCTCACTCTCATGTAGTAATGTCCTAGCTCTTTCTAAAAGAACTCTGTTTGCTCGTTCAGCTTTTCCATTACTCTCACTGTTATATGGAATTGTTTTTTCATGAAAAATACCTGAATTAGCAAGATAATTATCTAATTGTTGATTTACAAATTCTAAACCATTGTCTGTTCTCAAACGCTTAATTCTTCAATTCTTTTACCAGTTAAATTTTCATACTTAGCTTTAAATTTACAAAATGCGTCAAACACTTCACTTTTTACTTTTAAGAAAATAAGTAAAATACATTCCAGAAAAATCATCCACTAAGATCATAAAATATTTAGACCCACCAATTGATTCAGTTTGAACAGGGCCACATAGATCCGAATGAATTAATTCTAAAATTTCTGAACTCTGATTAATGTCAATATTTGGATGACTTTTTCTAGTTATTTTACTTATGTCACAAGTTTCACACTTAAAATCACTTACATGATTAATATCAATGTATTCTTTCATTTTAAGCATATATTTTGGATTTAAATGGCACAATCTACTATGCCAAAGTTCATAATTATTACCAGTACAATCATTAGCAATGCAAGATTCAGAATTATAATATGGTTCTAAATTAACTTCAAGCCTACCGTTATTCTTAAATGCTTTAAAAAGTAATTCATTACACCTACTAAAAACTAATACAGAATTATTCCTTGATTCAATTTTACATCCTTTATCCATTAAGGCGGCAGTGAGTGACAATAAGTTATTTCTTAAATCAGGAATATAACTAACATTACTAATAGTTAAATTAATAAAACTTGAATTCTTTGTATTTATAGCTTTTGCTTTAACAGTACCAATACCTTTTGAATATATTTTTGAGTGTTTACCTGCCTGGTAAATTTCCCTCACCTCTGGTGTAATATTCTGAAACCAAAAGAAGTCTTTTGCCATGTGTCCGGTTGCACCACTATCCAGCAACCAAATTTTATCACATTCATCATTTTTTCCACGCGTAAGTTGAAGAGCAACATCATTTTCTCTTTCACCAGAACGAGATGAAACGTTCACACTTGTAGGTTGTAACTTCATTCTTTCCTTGTTACCTTTGGATAACTCCCTTTTTGGATTCTTGTTTCTGTAATAGCAGTCCTTCGCGATGTGACCAGGCCGTCGGCAAATGTAACAAATTCTTGGCTTATAGTTTTTATTCCTTCTTGATATGAACGCCTCTGCGTTGTTTCCATCAGGTCGTTTCCCATTCGTTGAATTGTGAACGGACTCTTCCTCACGGAGTATCTCGAGTACTTCATCAATTGTTTTTTCACGCTGAGTTTTTACAATTTCCCTAATTCGAGAGAATTTCCCACGAAGTCCACGGACTGTGTAAAACACCAGTTTTCGAGGAGATACAGCTAGGCTTAGCGATTGACACTTATGCTATTCCTTTCGCTCTTGCGATATAATCATTAGCCGACTCATGCAACTTCATTTCTAAATTTTTTAACTCATTACCAGCATCTATTTTTCGATCTTCGGCTTGTCCCGTAAATGTTGACTTTATTTTTTCCCAAAGAATTTTTGCATTCTCTTCTGTGGAGAACTGAAGTGCCTGTTGATCCGATAATGAAAGTTTTATATATGCTACGGCGTCAGCGTTTTTCTCATTCCACAATCTTTCATCTTTCTCGTCTAAATTTTCTGGTTTTACCGTTGAAATTACCGAGTCAAGTCTTTTCAGTGATAAGGCAGCTTTAATTTTTAATGCTCAAATAAAATAGTTCTCTCCAGTTAATTCGGGAACGTTCCACTTCTCCATTTTTGGCTTCCACTAAGACAGTTTCGGTTTCGACTTGGTCTCTTATATCCAATTCTTCTTGACAAAACCACGGAGCTGCTACCATTTGTTGTTCAGAGGCCAATATTTACAGTAAAGAAGGCATCGATTTAGGACAACCACTTTATTTACACGTATAATGAATAAAAGGATCACACAGGAAATCGTATTGACCATCACACAGCAAGTAACATCTCACCATCTCCATACGCTCGAAGCTCGAATGACGGATGTGTCGGTAGAAGAGACAGCTGCGCCATCATAATTAATACGCATGCGCATAAGAAAAAACGTTCGCTCGCCTCTACCCAACAGTTTTATGTTCTATTCGATAATCCTTATTCTTCACTATCTTTCTACATTGTAATTTTGAAGCCAATAAAGGCCTTTTGTAGTATCGAAAGAGATATTTTATCCAGTTGCTAACGAACAGCTTTCTAACGTATAAGGAGGTTGTAGGTTGGACAACCCGCTTTTTAAAAGTCCAAAAGCGCAAAAATACAATGGTGACAAATCAGGAGATTTAATAAGGATCTAGTGAAGGGTTAACGCCTTGGTATCTGTTTCTTGGTCCATTTTTCCCAGGAAATTAACTGTAGATTTTGGCATGTCGCTGTTTGCTTTGTCTTGTTGCAGTTCTACTGATTGATCACACTGTATAAAGAGAAGGTATTTATATCTGAAAATTGCGTATAAAATGTGTTTTTGATAATATGTGGAGTTGATCTGAACATTTTTCTTCACTCTTTTTATTTTTAACTTGCCGGTATATGAAACCCCAGCAAAAATCATAAATCCCTTAGAAAAGTTTTCTTTAGATTCCTTGAACCATATTTTAAATTTTTTTTCTCCTCTTTGATGATAATAAATGGATCTTCTTTTTATTTCACTCATTTAGATACACTCAAGATTCATCTATTTCTCCATTTTTGTCCGGATAAATTTTTCTCATAATGAACTCTGCGGCATATTCTACTTTTGTCGATATGTCGTGGCGAAAGACGATGCACATTATGTTTTTTTGCCGATTCAAGATTCAAATCAGCAACCATTTTATTTACAGTTGACACTGAGCATTTTAATGATTTTGCAACTGTCCTTTGACTTGGAGGATTTTCATTTTACATTAAATAGCTTACTTTTGCAACATTCCAAACAATCCGTTTTCTCCTTGGATATGTATTTGGAACAATTTTTCCACTTGAAGCTAAATTTTGACGCTTTTTTACTTTATTGTTGACAACATTATCCTAGCTTTAGATATAAAAAAGTCGTGTCTTTCACAACATTTTTTAATAACTATCGATAGATACGAATAATTTTCTTTGGGAAGAAGATAAACTTAGCCTTCCATCCATTTCTTCTTTAAAGCAATGTTATACATGAAAACAAAACTGTCAAGTAGCAGACGATAATTTATACTTTCAAATATATAATTGCATTTAATTTTTTCCCCCCAAACGGAAGTTTTTTTTTTTTTTTTTTTTTAAACAGCAAAGCAAAATCGTCCAAAAAATGTGCGAACAGCCTCTGTATGTAGACAATCAAATCCACACTTTCTTGTGGATGGAAGTTTAAATATGAAAATGAGATATTTGAATAATACATTGCAGCGAGAGGGAGAAGACTGCTCCAGTCATCTGATCAAGGGGGTCCTCAAGATTTTAAGTATATGCACCTGTATGTAGGAGTATTAAAAAGAAGGAAGCTAAAATGTGATTTGCATTGAAAGTGTTAGTTTATTGTGCACTTGGACGTCCAAGAACTAGTCTCTAACTTTTATTTGGCGCTGAAGGTTTTTTGACAATATGTGTTTCATTTGCTTCTTGGAAAAGAAGCTTTTCAAATTTGAAGTTGATTAAAAGCTATCTTTGATTAACAGTGAGCAAAGTAAGACTTCACAGTTTGGCAGTCCTTTCAATTAAAAATTCATTAGCTAAAAACATTAATTTTGATGAAGCTGTAAAAAAATGTTCAGAAGTCAAAGGTCACAATAATCAGTTTTAGCTTTAGTTATTGAGAGAAAAGTTAAAAACATTTTTTAATTATCAACAATGGAATATTAAAAAGCTTTTTTTTTAATATATTTTGTCTATAGTTTTTTTTTTTCTTTAGTCTTAAGATTTTGTTTCCAAACCATTTTAAATTTTGAATTTAAATTACATAAATGACAATTATATATTTTTGTTGACATTTGGTATGGCGATCCTTCCGATGGAGTCCCCTAGAAGGTTTCCTCCCCAGGCCTTCACAGTTGTAAGTATACCACTGCACTGCAGTATGTGTCATTGCAGGAAATTAATCTCTGCAAATGAGAATATCTATGATGTAGAATTAGACTTGGATCTTTTTATCTAAACAGATTACAAGCTATTTGCATCATAATATTGAATTATAGTTTAAATCATAGCTTAATATTGCTTGTAACAACTTGTTTGTAACTGGTATAATATTGCTACGAAATGTACAAGCACAGTGAGATGGCTTCCCCGCAAAGCAGTTTTAGGGTTGCCATGAAGTGACAAGGGAAGGCAGAATTGCCACATTTGGCGAGAAATCGCACATTTGGCGACAAAATTGGCGATATGCCATGGACGGATGGAGAACCTTCTGGAACGAATTCTTACCGGTTTAGCCCAGAATGTTCTCGAACACAAGCCGAAAGCTATATAAACCCTGCTGGTCCGCAGTCAGTTAGTGGAATGCCTCGTTGAGAGGGCGAGTCAGTGTGTGCCTCGCATAGAGTGCGAGATAGTATCGAGTTGGTGTCTCGTCCAGCGAGTCAATCCCTGCGGAGTCGATCGAGTTGACAGCCGGGCAGCGAGTGCCGAGCGGGTCGTCGAGTGCACCGAAAGAGTCTGGTAGTGCATCGTCGAGAGAGCGTGTTGAGCTCCGGGAACGACTGAACCGAAGAGTCGGGAGCTGTGCTCTGTGTGTCGTCGAGTGCATCGCGAGTTGTAGCGTGGAGAGTCTCGAGAGTACGTGGAGTTCCGAGAACGACCAAGCAGAGTCGGGAGCTGTACTTTAGTGCTTTACCGTGAAGCTGTCTCCACCGTGATAGCCTGATAACCTGGAGGCTGCGTCGCTGATTGTGTCAGTGTGTTTATAGTAGTTCACCGACGATGTAAAAACGTGTTTTGGAGCTGGCCTGACGGTACTGGATAATAAAGTGTGTTTCGATACTTCATCAAGTGTCGTCGTTATTCACTCCAAATCCTCATGAACCCCGTAACAACTGATATTAGAAAAGAAAAACACAACAATATTCTGAAATTATAACCACTGTCTTCCAACCATAATGTTCTTCATAATTATATGATTGCTTTCATTTCTTTTAAAATATTTTTTCTTAAATCTTTTATCAGCAGTGCGTGTATGTGTCAGTTATTTTTTTCCCTGTCTATAATTTGATTTCAGTATATAATATTTCTTCATTTATATCTAATTTGTGATGCATATTTAATAATGGCTTTTTTTTTAGTTATAAATGAATGTCAACCTCATTGTCAAATCACTTTGAAAAATACCAAAGAGGTGAGTATAATGCTGTTATTATAAATTTAAGTTATGATTTAATCACACTCATACTATTTAAACTTTTGTAAAAATATTGTATTTATTATATATACTTATTCATTATGCATATTTGTGGTTTAGATCGATTTATAATTATTTCGATTGTAAATTTATTATAGCAATACCCATAGATAAGGTTATCATAATTTAAAGTATATAATTGAGTGTTTTTTTTTCCTTCTTTTTTAATATTCCACATAAATACATTATTTGAGCCTTCCTGAACGTATGTGTGAAATGCCATAAAAACCTGCTTGTATTAAATTAAAAAAAAAAAAAAAGTAAGAAAAGAACAACTGAAAGAGCAGTATGATCTTTATTTCAATGGACTATACACAGATTTATTTTCCAGTGAAACATAATCCTTAAAGAACGTTTTAGCAATGTGACTGAAGGAAAATTAATGTATTACCAACGTGAAAAAATTACATTTTTAGCCAATTGGAAATCTGCTGTAAACGGAATGAAACTTAATTTCCTGAAAAAATAAAGAATAAAATTTAAAAAAATATGAATGTATATTGATAATTATTGGAATAAACTTTCATTTTTTAAAATGTTTAAAAATTGTGTTCTTTCTCTATTTCTTTTAAATGTTTTAATATCTACATATTTATTTATTTTTATAAAAGGAAGGAAAAGAATAATTTTGCAGATTTGCTAACTTAGTTATTGAAAGTTGTGAAACACTTTTCCTTCACTTTTAAAGTAATTTTTTAGCTATTGTTTTAATGCTAATTATATGTATTTTTAATATATTAGCCACTCCTTTGTTATAAGAATGAACATGACTATACGTTTTTACTTTAGTTGATTTCTATGAAAACCTTATATAAAATACAATAGAACCTCAGTTTATGAATGTAATTTTTTCCTGTCTTGAAAGCTGTTCAGGAATGAAAATAATATTTTCCATAGGAATTAATGTCAAATGTTTTTGTTATTTCGGTTCACTTCTGTGAAGGCACTTAAATTACTGTGAAACCTCAGTTCATGAACTTAATTTGTTCCTGAAAGCCATTTGTAAACCAATTTTTCCCTTAGGAATTAATGTCAAATAGTAAAATTAGGCAAATAATGTCAAATAATGTCAAATAGTAAAATTAGGCAAGGCAACAACCTTATGTTTGGCATAGATTTTAGTCAAGACTCTATCGATTTTGAGGGCAAACATGTACAGCTCCCTCTTCATCGGGAACAAAGAAATGTGCATGAAAGGGCTGTATTTATAACCAAAAGGAATTAATAGAATTTTAAAAGCCGTAGTTAATAATGGATTGGAATTAAAGTCATTAACTGAACAAAATAAATATTTGCTAATATGAAAATCTTAAAAAATCCTATTCAGCAATGGAAGAAGCTTTTTTGATAATTTCTGCACCCCCCAAGTCAAAATTGTCATTAAATTTACGACTATGATTAGCTATCCAAGTCTTGTTAATTTTCACTTTTCAGGTATAATTTCATGTTCCTTGATGCGAAGCTCCGGCGCTCTTTCAGTTTCGTGGATATGTCTCAAACCACACAAGATGTACTATAAATTCCCTAAGAATTATAGGCAGAAGTGAAACTTTTAAGAATCAATGGATTTTATTGGCAGACGAGAAAATGATTTGAAAATTGAATTTCTGGAGAATTCGTTCAGTTTTATAACTAATAGAAAGATGATATAAAAACATGACAGAGTTATTAATGCTATTTCTAATAACAGAATATCTTTTTTGATCACAAGATGAAAAATTTTTAGTCTTTATCAATGACCACGGAAGAATGGTCAGTGGCAACTTATGTCAAAAAATTGGGTTCATTAGCAAGCAAAGATTCTGAGGAAAAGAAAGCGTGAAGTACATAATAATAATAATAAAAAGCGTTTTACCATGATATTCAAATGTGATAAATTGAATGTTACACACAAATGCAGGTGTTAAAAGAATATTCAGAAATTAACCTAAAAGTATTGGTACTTTTCCGTTTCGCCGGCGCAAATCTCGCCAAGCAGACTTTGTTGGCTACAACATACAGTATACACATAAAAAATGTTAATTCTAAGAATTTTTTTTTATTGTATAGGCATAAACATTTTAATATGGTTTAAAATTTTGTAAAAAGCCAATAAATAAAGACAATAAATTTGTAAAAAGATATTAATTTAAGAATTTACTATGATTTCATAGTTCAAAATCCTGATTCGCCGGTTCGTATCACGTGACCCCAAGTGATCCATCTCACGTAAACTACGCTACTAAAATTTAATTCGCTCAGTAATTATCTACATTAATTTTAAGTTAAATCTTAATTTGGAATACAAGTTTAAATGCAAGAATTATTTCAATTCGTACAAATAGCTTACTCAGAAATTATGTAAAACCGCAGTGCTTTACTTCGCTAGTCATTAGAATTGATGAATTTAACACTTGATTTCGCCTTCGGATGAGCGGTGTAATTGCGTTCTAATTGACTTAATTACCGTGAATTGTCTTAGGGGATAAAATTTAAATATCGTGTAAAAATTCTATATTATTGTATGCCAGTATTGAAAGAAACAATCTGATAAGAAATGGCTTCAACTTGTTTTGAAACTGAGGCGTAAAAGGTTACCAGCGAAGATATTCCGTCTGGCATCAGTTAAACCATTATTGGCGACTTTATCGTTTGCGCCGGCAAAACGGAAAAGTACCAAAGTATTTAAATTTGCTGATGCAACTCTGGTGCTAATACTATACGTATCTTTTATATAAAGGATGGAAATAAATTTACAGAACTTTCATTGCTTATTTTGAAAAATTAACTACCACAGATGGTTAAAATGGAGTTAAAATCGAGATAAAATACTCTAGAGGTTAATACATTGGAGTCTCATTTTAACATTTATGAAAATACATCAACTTTTGCAAATGATCAGTCTGATTCATCAGCTGGAGCTGGAATGGATGATTTGAGTAAGATCATATCTTTTATTAGTTTTTGTGAGGTAGTTTGCGGTATGGAGAATCGATGCCTAGGTACAAAATTCTTGTTTTGATTGATACAATTGACAATTGCTTTTTCGCATAACTTAAACTGGAAAACTAAGATTTGCATAAGTTTTCTCTGAATTTAAATGTATACTGGTGAAATAAATTAAGAGAATTTGCATATTTTATCAAATTGCATGAAAAAAACTAACTGAAGAGGGGAAACCACTGCTTCTAGATAAAAATGCAAATCCTGTACGGCAAATACGTAAGCGTACAAGTGTGTGTAAGGCGGAGTCAACAAAACAGGCTTTATAAGCGCGTGGAGGGTATAAGACGAATGCGTTCGCTAGCACACCTTGGCGAATTTTTCGGTGTTATCTTGCAGCAATCGGTTAAATTCCCATCGGAACAGTAGAAATGAGTTTTGCTTATTGCGGGTGATTTTAATGCTACGAGTCCTCTTTGGGGTGGAAATCAAGAAGATCATAGGGCTGCTAAAGTTCTTAATTTTATCCACGAAAACAGACTGTGTGTTCCTAATTCCTCCGATTCAGAGCCAACATTCTTGACTGTCAGAGCCAAGGGTTGGCCTGATATTACATTAGCTTCATCTCCTTTTGCAATTTCTATTACAAATTGGAGGGTGTGTTGACAGGTTTGTCTATTAGTGATCATCAAATTATTTTGTTTGAAATTGGAATCTCGGAAGACATAATTTTGAAACGTAGATTTAAAACTTCATATGGTGGACATGAAAAATTTATTGAGAAACTTCGTCCACGAATTTCTCAATTTATAAATTTATTTGAATCTAATACTTCTCGAGAGGATTTAGAAAATAACTACGACTTTTTTATTGGTTCATTGATGGATGCAGCAACAGCGTCCTATAAGTCGAAAAGAGTACGGATTAAAACCTCTACATCATGGTGGTCTGACTCGCTCACAATAAAAAGGAACAAAGTTCGTGCTTTAAGGAGACGTATGCAAAAAGAAAGGGATGACAATATAAGGCATTCACTTAAAATTTCTTATAAGAAGGAACTAGCAATTTTTAAAAGATTGATTATAAAGACAAAAAGTGAATCTTGGAAGGCATTTTGTGCTGCTATTGAAAATCCTTATGGCATCACTCAAAAGATTGCAGTGGACAGAGTATTTCGACCTCTTCAGCTGCCAGTAGAGGTAGCTCCGGACTGTACTTCTCTGGGAGAGAAATATAAAAAAAAAATTAGATGAGTTATTTCCATTGGATTTGGAGATTGACGATATGGATTTACATAAAGTAATGCGAGAAAAATTTAAAAATCAAACTTGGAATTCTACTTTAAGTGACTCTGCCCTACTGGAGCTTGAGGAGTTAGTAAATACATTTCGTTCTCTACCGTCTAAGAAGGCCCCCGGACCAGACGGTCTTGATAATATTATCATAAAGATACTTTTCAAAGAATTCCCCCAATTGTTGTTATCTTTATATCGAGCATGTTGGAAATTGGCTTTATTTCCACGGCAGATGAAAATTGCCGAAATAGTTTTATTTGGCAAAAAAGGTAAAGATCCTGCTATTTTGTCTTCTTATAGACCAGTGAGTCTTCTTTCTTCTTTAAATAAACTCTTTGAAAATTAATATTGAACAGACTAAATTATTTTCTAACTGAAAATAAAGTGATCAGCGACTTTCAATTTGGATTTAAAAAGGGGGTTTCAACTGAAATGGCTGTTTTTAATCTGCTAAACACAGCAAAATGCAACAGGGATGGTAACAGGCACACGTTACTCATCTCCATTGATATACGTGATGCATTTGACACGGTCTGGTGGCCTGACATAATTGATGCATTGGATAGCGCAAACTGCCCTGTAGAAATTTTGAATTTAATTCGAAATTATTTGGAACAACGCAAAATTCAATTAACCCTGGATAATGAAATTTTAATAAAAGATTTGCAAAGAGGCTGTCCACAGGGTTCCTGTTTAGGACCAACCCTGTGGAACTTAGTCGCTAATTCGGCCTTTGGTATGTTTGAAAATACTGAACAAGTAACTTTGCAAGCTTATGCCGACGATTTTCTGTTAATTATCTCAGGCGTAAAGGACATTGAAGTAAGAGCTCAACAAGCGATTAATAAGTTTGTAGAGTGGGCAGACATGCATAAATTAAGAATTTCCGAAGAAAAAACTACTATGTTGTTTATCGGTAGGAAAAGAAAAATGCGTCGAAATCCGTCTATAAAAATCCATGGAAGGCCTAAAAAAATAAATGTGCAAACACCTTGAAATATTTAGGCTTTGTTATCAGCAATACGCTGTCTTGGTTTCCACATGTGAAACATCTTAAACAGAGATGTGCCGTTCTTACGAATGGCATGACAAAGACTATGGGCCTTAATTGGGGTACTTCCCCAAAAATCTTGCGGCTG